ACCCCAAACCTAATCTCTGCTATGAAGGCAAATCTCTCATCTTTTTTCATTTTTACTATTACTCAAAACATTGGTTATTTCCTCTTTAACAGGATCATTAGTCTTTTTACATTGGGCAACATCTCCCCTGATATCAACAAGACGTTTTTAGAACCGGTTTATGCCTCATTTTGTATCCTCCTCACAAAACTTGCATCTTATGCAATTTTTATCATTAGGATCTGGGTTGTAGCCATATTTATAATCAGGATCACCACTCCTATTAGATCTTGAAGAAGATATCTCAAAATAATACAACTTATACAAGCAAAAAAAAAAAAATCACCTACTTTGATTACTCAATCTCCAAACTTCCACCTCAAAGATGCTTCTAAAGACTCAAAATCTTCTAAAAAACCCTCTAATAGATTTATAAAATATCACAAATTAAATATAATATCAATGGATGATGTTTTGATCAATTTCTCATAACTTTAAGAAACCCTTCAATCCGAAAGAAATCATCAAAAATTAGTTATTTGGGGTTTTTCTCTCTAAAATGGTCTTTAATATATTTTAGGTTACAAATAAATCTAAAAACAAGAAATTTGGCCCTTTAGTATAAAAAAGAAAAGGATAAAAAATGCCCCTACCGAACTGTTTTCCACCTCTAGGCGGGGCGCAGTTCCTGAGTGGCCTCCTAGGCAGCTTCTTGGGTGCCTAGGCGGGCACCCAGGGTTTACAGCTTTTTTTTTGCATCTAAGCCTGAGCGATGCGCCCAGGCCCCTAGAATCGCCTCAACAGCCGTTCAAGAGCTAGGCAGTCCGCTTTTTGAAACAATGGGGTGAGGATCTTACATGGCTTAATATCGAGGTAGCCACAAGGGCTAATGAAGAAGAACGGTCTAACACTAAAGCACAAAGGAGTAGAGCTGGGTCTAGTCGCAGTTCAGCTCCAGAGGTCGAGGAGGAGGAGGCTGACTCAGAGAAGACCAAGGAAGGAGAATACATAAAGGCGGCCGAGGATGATAGTGATGATGATGCACATGAAGACTTTCAAGATGACTTCTCTTATTAGTATTTGAAAAATTGAAATTTAGAATCTCACTCTCAAGACTTGAGAAATGATGATAACTACATTGACTCTTCTTGAGCATGACTTTAGAACTCTTTAATCTTCATGGACTTTTTTAATTTGTAGGGTTTTGTAACTTTAAAGTCTAAAGTTTGTAGTTGTTGATTTGTGATTACGATTGTTGATTGAATGTTTGATGAAGCTAGTTTCAAGTTTCTAGTTTCTATCGTGGGATAGTAGATACAGAATCTCCGACAGCTAACACTTTTGGAGTTAAGGAATAAACTAAATACCTACTATCACATATATCACCTCTATATTTTTTTCTATGCGTTAACCTTTTTTCTTAGATTTTTTAGAATTTTTTAAAATTTATAGGCCGCATCGCCACGATGCACCGCATCGAGTCGCATCGCTACAGCGGCACCGCCACCGCTTTCGGCCGCATCCCGCATTTTAAAACACTGGTTCGGCCAGCCTCTATAGTGGGCGAGCCAATAAACCAAAGCAATATTTTTGTCTCTTGTCGTGAGGCACTTGCCCCTAGGCCTCTGGTATTAAACGATTCCTTCTCTCCTAAGAGTTTTGAGATATTTAGATTTGGCATTATTATGATTGCAAATCGCTGTGGGAGTTAGGAGTGGATTTCTTCGAGGTTGTCAAGGTTGGAAATCATTTGAAGAAGAGAGTTCTTGGAATTGGAAAAGTTAGCAGGATTCTTCTGACTTCAATTTTAATGAAAATTTTAAGCAACCGGATTTTCTTGTGTAACCTAAATCCTAGCCAGCCGAAGGCTGAAAAAGAAGACCACTAATTACAGATCAGGCTATTGAAGGAGGGGTCCTCAAGCCGAAAGTGTTCAAATCCAAAAGGTTTTGGGCCACGAGCACTAGGGATAATGTCCATGAGTATAGATTTGGGTTAGAGGTGGGTTTGGTTAGGGAGTAAGAATGTGTTGCAAGAACTTTTCTTTCTATTTGGAAAGAGTGGGGTTAGAGGAGTGGTTGGACCAAGTATAGAAAGAGCCATTAAGAGGTATGTCTATCAGATGATTATGTGAGTTGAAATGGGAAAAATCAGACAGATGTTGAAATGTTGCGGTGGCAATTCAATTCATGGCTCCATCTAATGATATTGAAAGTCTCCTCCAATAACCCAAGGACCGAGAGAAGAGTTGGCCATGCTGTTCAATTCGTCCCAGAAGACGGGTCTGAGTCCGCACTGTTGGGACAGCATTTCAAAGGAAGTTGTCAAAGATCCTAGAGAAAGAAATGGTGCTGGAGAAGAGGCCTACGGAGCTAGAGGCTAAGGCATGGATTGTGGAGACCCAGATGACACACATCCCACCCGAAGCACCCAAAGAATCTAAGCCTAATGCCATGTACTGAGAAGGTCGCCTACCCAAAATTTTCCTAACAATAGGAAGTTGGGCTTGGATTTTTAGTCTCTAAACTGGCAAAGAACGTCAGAACGGTGCTGGGAAGATCAGGCATGCACGGCAGCCTTTTCACGAGCATCCCCTAAAGTGTGCATCTGAGTATACATGGAAAACAATTAGGTGGTCACCAAATAGTTCTTGGAAACACCAGTGATTCCGAATCGTTTCAAGAATTAGAATCACAAAATCGTGTGCATCAGATGTTTCCTAATCTTGGAATCGTTGTTCGTACGATTCGAAATTACGAATCCTAATTCGCAATATATCAGAATCGCAATCCAATAAAATAGGAATCGTGTTTCCTACTTGTAAGAATTGATGTCCCTTTATGTTGGAATCAAGTTTCATACCAGTATGGAATTGCACCTGACCCACATAGTTCAGTAGATTCTGGAATCGCGATCCAATGAGATCGGAATCGTGATTCCTAAAACTATAGAATTGTGATTCCTAAAATTCTGGAATCATTATCCCCATCAACTTGGAATCAAGATTCTCACCATTCAGGAATCGAGATTCTCCCAATACTGGAATTGCGCACAATCCCCTCCTGTATATGAGAGAAATATTCATAAAAGATTTAAATTTTATCATTACTACAAGATTGAATATTGGTCTGTATATATTTAGTTCAATTACCAATGTCAACAATTTCATACAATGGACTCGGTCTATCAACAACCCTTCGCCTACAAGGCCTGGAGCTGGTTTACGGCATACAACTAATGAGAAATAGGGCAAGCTCCCTCCATCTCCTTTCCTTGAATTATAAAATAAGTAGATGACATAGAAATTCTTCTTTGTTGAATGTAGTTTTGACTTTTGAAAATTGAGTTATTCAATTTTAAGTTAATTTCTAATATTTAATGATTAATTTAACCTGAAACACTAGGGTACTTCGCACATATTCTTATCCTATTATCCTACTTGAAAAAAGGCAGTGGTACATATCTTGGTACCCATCATATATTAAACAATATCACATTAGTACCCAAAGCGTTTACCAAAAATTATTAAATTTGAAATAACAACTATTTTTAGTAATATTTATTCTTGGTAAGAGTTGTTAAATACAACTATAGAAATTTGAAAACAAGAAAATAAAAAAATTCACATATTCCCCATATTTAAAACTTTTGGAATCAACATTTTGCACATGTAGAATCGCATTGTAGTGTAGCTAAGAACCACGATGTCTACGATATATTATCTTGATTCCAAACAACATGGATTCACGATTCCTAAAAATTTGTAATCATCGTTTCACACAAGCAGAATCGCATTGTTGTGAAGCTAAGAATCATAAAGTCTACAATATAGAATCCTGATTCCAAGCTTCCAGGAACCGAGATTCATAAACTAAGTTGAATCGCATTTCGAGAAACTTGGAAACATGATTCCTTTCTTTTGGAATCGAGTTTCGTCCTAGGAAACATGGAATTGAGATTCCGAAACAGAATCGCTACCCCGACTCGGGTGCCTAAAACATTGTTGGGAGATTTGTTTGATCCGAAAATATGCAGATCATCTTTGTTCATCCATAAGATCAATTTCAAAGAAAAATGACTTTGTTCAAACATGCCCCAAATCAAACCCCCTCAGAGATCAACTCTGGACTGTATATTTAAGAGCTAATAAAATCTAGAGTTTTAAGGACTCGAAAGCATTTTAATTTAAAATTGTTCACAAGGTGAATTAAAGATGATCCGAAAATTTTCAGACAAAGAACATCCAACAATATGTTTAGAGCACCCGACCATGCGCTAGGGTGGTAGCATGCCACCACCCTATACATATTAGGGTACATTAAAAATATCATGTGAATACTTTAAAACCACATCTAGAACCTATAATGCAACATAAATAAAACATGATGAATATAATATTAGCACAAGGAATAAGATAAACGATGTGTGTTTAATATTATATACTGTGTACAATTATTCAACATTTTCAACAGTATATATGTCTGTACATATGACTGTTGGTGTTTGTGTGTGGGTGTGAATGTGTGCGTATATAGCAATGGATTGAATACAATAACTGTATCTGTATCCATATCCAGGATTTTAGGAAATGATGTCGTATCTTATTCACCATATCCATTCAGTATCCATATTTGGGCATTTCTCGTGCATGTATTGACATTCAGTTTCACCCTTCAGCCATTGTCTCAACTTACAAACCAGACAATTGCAGAACTACAAATGCTCAAGTGAGAGACAAGCTGGCGGCAATGTCTTGGATGAACATATTAAGTGCATGGAATTTGTGTTCAATGTATACAACAGAACACCAAGTAAAGCCCCTGGTCTCCCCAGAAAGCAACAATAAACAATCAAAGAACATCTCTTCCTTAATTATTTACAAGAAGTAACTACAATTTTCATTATGTTGCCTAATAAAATTTCATATGCAATATATCAGCTCAGGACCATGACTTAAAAAGTCACTACTTTCCACAGAGTCCAATACAACCAATGAGACAAGAAAGTTACATTTCCCAAACCTTGTGCTTGCACATCAATATGGCAAATAGGACACCTGAGTCAGCCACATCTTGCAATATAGCACCTGTCGCTTGTCTTGTAGAGTATGAAAGAGGAAGGCATGTATAGGCATGAAGAAATGTCGCAGGATTCCTGTAGAGGGCAAATCAAATTTAGCTTATCTACAACATCCATTTTCCATGAAACCAGACTTTTATGAGGGAAATAGAGCTTCAAAATTAAATCCAAGTTAAAAACTAATCATTCTATTGATTGATGGGAGATTTGTTATCAAATCTATTTCACAGTATGTAACCAATGCAACTAAGTACCATTAGAACAATCACATTAATCAGTAATATTCAAATATTAACTAAAGGTAAAACAACTAAAACTGGCAGATAACCATGTAATTGCCCACACTATGGAACACAAAAAGGTCACTGATCTCACTGAAAATTCCAGTAGAAGCGACGACAGCTGCTAATGTTTCCACTATGAACTAAATTCACAAAAAAAAAAAAAAAATAGTGAAGGGGAGATTCAAACCAAATGTAGATGATCAGATCCCTTGAAAAAGCACCCATGACAGCCATCACAACATACACCAAATACAAGGGTCTCCTAAGATTGCAATGAATTGAAACTCCCTCATCCTGATTGGTCTAAAAAAGCCCATGTGAGGTTTTATTTTGGACCACCCCCCCACCAAGATTCAAGGGCACTCCATAGCCACGTTCACAGAGGACAAGGAGACCGATTTAGAAGAGACTGAAGAGGAGGGTCACTATGTTGAAGAATGTGAGGATTCTAATAATGGTGGCCTGGAATCGGATGAAGGTGTTGGAATAGAAACCAATAACAAAGAAGATGAAGACTAAATTGTTACTTTGGCATCAATTTAATTTTCTCTCTATTATGGAATGTGAATGTGGACTTGTGCTTAACTGCTTGCGGATTTGACTACTTGGAGTTTATGGCATTGGAAGTGGAGCCATGTGCTACCCACATTCAGCCATTGACATTTATATATGGATTTTTGGAAATCCTATTTCTCTTATCTTACTATTGAGGTTGTTAGTTTATTACATCTAGATTTGTTGACACCAATGGTTTAAAAAAAGGATCGGTGACCCGGATCGGGCTTCCAAAAAACCGATCCGGATCGGCGAATCAGCGATCCGGATTGGGAATCGGGTGAATCGGTCAGAATAAAGCTTAAAAAAAATCCGAAAAAATTATTAAAATTCATTATAAATATTGTTTTTTAGGAATTCAATAAGAAATGAGGGTACTCCATTAAGAATTTTCATGTTTTTGAATAAATATGCGAATATTGATATGTTCTTTCCCTGCATGAACCGCCATTCAGCATTTAATTTACATCACGCAAAAGGATAAACATATAATTATCATGGAATAAGTATATCAACATACATGGACTACAATAAAGCATAAAATTAGTAACATATGATCTAAAAATAAAATGATAGACGACGTTATTGTTCTTCTTGGTCACGCTGGTGCCATTGATTGAATTCGTTTAACAATTCATTGATTCGATCTAAAAACGAATCATCAATA